AAGGTCATTTCTTAATTATGTTAAATTGCTCTGTACTTTCTTAAGTATTTACGTTTTTAAAGATATAAGCTCATCCCGACTTTACACTCATCGAGACCTTTCATTTGAGTACCCATATCAATTTTTCATATATTTTATATATATATGATATTTGTGAAATATATCAATATATATAATATATATAAAATTGATGTGGGTACTCAAATGAAAGGTCTCGATGAGTGTAATGTCGGGGTGAGCTTATATCTTTAAAAATGTCAATAGTTTTCAAGATACAATGTAATTTCTTAATTATTGATATTTTCAAAGATATAAGCTCATCCCGATGTTGCAATCATCAAGAGCTTTCATTTGAGTACCCACGTGCATTTTTGATATATTTTTCCTATATACATATACATAATATATATAAATATATGAAAAATTGATGTGGGTACTCAAATGAAAAGTCTCAATGAGTGTAACATCCGGATGAGCTTATATTTTAAAAAATGTCAATAGTTCTCAAGATACAGGGTCATTTCTTAATTATGTATTTAGAGATAGAGCATTTTTGAAAGGGGAATTTTATAAAACATTACAAATTTTTTTAATTCCAGGTAAACTAATCCTCAAAATCCCGTTCAAAGACATTTGGAACGGGCAGATCGACTGCATAATCGAAGAACTCTACTTACTGATAGTCCCATCAAGCCAAGTAAAATATGACCCGGAGAAAGAAGCGAAGTACTCATTGGACGCGAAGCACGCGGAGCTTGCTCGCATCGAGAAAAACAAGCAGCTGCTGGAGCAGTCTAAGCAGGCGGAAAAAATCGACGACTCTATGCTCGAAAAACTCCTCGCGCGGATGATCAAGAACATCCACGTGGAAATCAAGAGCATCCACGTGCGCTACGAGGACCACGTGACCTTCAAGCCACACGAGTTTGCAATCGGCTTGACACTAAACCGGTTAGCACTCGAGTCCTGCAACACCTCCTGGATGACCACGGAGAACATGAAGGACATGTACTTGATCCCGCAGATCTTCAAGCTACTGACCCTGGACGGGTTCTCCATCTACTTAAACCCGAGTCTGATGCAGTTCAGCAAGCAAGCCTCCAGCACCTACTTGAAGCTGTTCCACGACTCGATAGCGACCACAGAGAACATTCCTCCGGACTATCAGTACCTTTTAGGACCAATCAACGTCAAAGCCAAGCTTAAGCTCAACCCCAAGCCGGAGACCGACGGGAGCAACTACCAGATCCCTAAAGTCTGGCTGGATCTCGAGATGGAGAAGCTGAGAATTGGCTTGACCAAGCGGCAATACGCCACCTTGCTGCAGCTCGGAGAAGGTTAGTTAGTTAATTAGTTAAATACTTTTTATTCATAGAAAAAAAGATTCACTTGAGCCAAGAAAATATTTTTACAAAATTGTACGTAGGGTAAATGCACCAATTATTGACCGATTAAGGTTTTCTTTTTCTGAACTAAGCTATAAAAAATCTATTAACCTACTAAAAACAATTTGTAATGGATTTTAATTAATAATTAATAACTATTTATAATTAAAATTAACAAAATTATATTAATTTTGTTATTTGAGTGTTGAAATATTAAAATCACCGATTATTGACCGAAGAAACCCAATAAATGACCGACCGTTCTCCAATTAATTCACCGCTCAAATAATTATAAGTAATTTTGTAAACTACATGTATGTAATTAAATTTATGCAGTACTTTTGAAGTATTAACGAGATCTTTAACAAAACTAAACATACAATATAATTTTAAATCGTACTTTTTTTATAAAATATTATAAATAATAGCAATAATTAACATAAAGTCACATTTCTTTAGGTCACAAATAATCACAAATTCATTTTGATCACGATAATTCTTCTGATTCACTTGAAATTTTTTTATTCTTCTCCTTCTTTTTTTCAATTAAAGCTTTTTTACTAGCTTGTAACTCTTTTTTATTTTTTTAATTGCTTAGCAATTTTTTCTTCTAATAATTCGTTCTTTGATATAACCGTTCACTAAAAAAATTAGAACAAAATAAAATTTAATAATCAAAAAAGATTTTAAGTATTATTTTAATTGTAAATATACATTTTATAATGATTATTTTTATATTTACAAAATATTGAATGACTAAAGTACTTTATAACACTTGACAGATTTAATTTTGGAGTTAAGAAGTTAGTATTATAATTATACGGTGATTAATTGGATTGTGATAAAATCAGAGAGTCTAATAAATGACCGAATGAATTTTTTACTGGGTAAAGGGCTTCTGACGGATCCAATAGTTGACCGGTCTTAAAATAATATTAAAACTTATAATTTAACTTTATTTTTTCAAAAAAGTTGGAATTTGATCTGTAATTAACATAAAACTTAAATATTTTATATTATGCCGATAAATATCACTAAATTAATGATGAAATGCACTCACTCTCCAATAATTGTACGCTAGTTATTTTTGACCGCTTTATGGCTGGTTGCGTTGTAAACAAACTCAGAATATTTTTTTAAAGCTATAATCACTGCGCAATTAATTGCGTAATTTTTTATTAAGATGATTAAATGCCATATATTTTTAATTTAATACTTTAAGAAAAAAAAACCCCTTGTAAAATATTAATTAATTAACTTTTTTATACATCGGTCAACTAATTGGTGACCGGTCAACAACTGGTGCATTTACCCTACCTACTTAAAACAAGAATGACATTTTGAAAAAAAAATTTTTCTTGAATCAAGTCATTTTTTTTATCAGTGTAGTCACTAATTTAATTCGTAATTGTTCATTAAATATTTCATTGTTAATTTTAAGGTCTCGACAGAGCGAAGAAAGCAGCGCCGTTCCGCAAGTTCCGTCCCGATGTTCCAAGTTACCGCGGGCACTACAAAGAATGGTGGCAGTTCGCGTATAAATGCGTCCTTGAGGAACACGTCGTAAGATGTCGCCGGAACTGGAACTGGGCGCACATGAAGGAACACCGCGACCTCTGTCGGGAGTACGCGGAAGTTTATCAAACTAAACTAACCTCTAAAAAGCCTGTTCCGGCGATAGAAGAACGGCTGACGCACTGCGAGCGACATCTGGATCTTTTTAACCTAGTTGTGATTCGGCAGCAAATAGAACTAGAAGTAGAGCGACTCGCTGAGAAGCAGAAGAGCATCAAGGCTGAGCGAGGATGGTTCGGGTTCCTCTGGGGTTCCTCTCAGCAGAAAGAAGAGGAGGAACTCAATTCAGCTGCTGCGATTATGAAAAAGTTCCAAGATGCTATGACCCCGGCGGAAAAGGAAAAGTTGTACAGAGCTATTGATTATCAGGAAAATTCTGCACCAGCTCATTATCCGGAGCACTATGAAATGGTGGACATGATGTTCTATCTTCATGGATTGCAGATTATTGTTTCTGATACGGATAAAGAGGAGCCTAGTGTTCTGGATGTGGCGCTAAATGGCGTACGCAGCGCGTTTAAACTTAGGCCGGCTGCTAATTCGGTTTTTGTTACTGTTTCGCTGAAGGAGATGCGGATGCTTGGGGTTAAGCAGGCGGATGAAGTACCCAAGTTGGTTCTCAGTGAACATGAACACTCGGATGTGCTTTTTAGTGTTAGTTATGAAAAGAACCCGCTGGATAAATCTTGTGGGGACAGGGTTATTGTTAATTCTAAGGCTGTTCATTTTGTGTATGATGCGCAGACCATTATTGAATTGGTTAAATTATTCAAGGTGAGAATTTTTTATTTATTTACACAGAAAAAAAGGTTCACTTGAGTGAGCCAAGAGAATATTTTTCTTCCTGATTATTGTTTTGAGACAAAAAAATTTTTTTTGATAAGAAATTTCACTTATTCCAACAAAATTAACTATCCTGCTTTGAGAAATACGTAGGGTAAATGCACCAGTTGTTGACCGGTCACCAATTAGTTGACCGATGTATAAAAAAGTTAATTAATTAATATTTTACAAGGGGTTTTTTTTTCTTAAAGTATTAAATTAAAAATATATGGCATTTAATCATCTTAATAAAAAATTACGCAATTAATTGCGCAGTGATTATAGCTTTAAAAAAATTATTCTGAGTTTGTTTACAACGCAACCAGCCATAAAGCGGTCAAAAATAACTAGCGTACAATTATTGGAGAGTGAGTGCATTTCATCATTAATTTAGTGATATTTATCGGCATAATATAAAATATTTTAGTTTTATTATGTTAATTACAGATCAAATTCCAACTTTTTTGAAAAAATAAAGTTAAATTATAAGTTTTAATATTATTTTAAGACCGGTCAACTATTGGATCCATCAGAAGCCCTTTACCCAGTAAAAAATTCATTCGATCATTTATTAGACTCTCTGATTTTATCACAATTCAATTAATGACCGTATATTTATAATACTAACTTCTTCACCTCAAAATTAAATCTGTCAAGTGTTTAAAGTACTTTAGTCATTCAATATTTTGTAAATATAAAAATAATCATTATAAAATGTATATTTACAATTAAAATAATACTTAAAATCTTTTTTGATTATTAAATTTTATTTTGTTGTAATTTTTTTAGTGAACGGTTATATCAAAGAACGAATTATTAGAAGAAAAAATTGCTAAGCAATTAAAAAGATAAAAAAGAGTTACAAGCTAGTAAAAAAGCTTTAATTGAAAAAAAGAAGGAGAAGAATAAAAAAATTTCAAGTGAATCAGAAGAATTATCGTCATCAAAATGAATTTGTGATTATTTGTGACCTAAAGAAATGTGACTTTATGTTAATTATTGCTATTATTTATAATATTTTATAAAAAAAGTACGATTTAAAATTATATTGTATGTTTAGTTTTGTTAAAGATGTCGTTAATACTTGAAAAGTACTGCATAAATTTAATTACATACATGTAGTTTACAAAATTACTTATAATTATTTGAGCGGTGAATTAATTGGAGAACGGTCGGTCATTTATTGGGTTTCTTCGGTCAATAATCGGTGATTTTAATATTTCAACACTCAAATAACAAAATTAATATAATTTTGTTAATTTTAATTATAAATAGTTATTAATTATTAATTAAAATCCATTACAAATTGTTTTTAGTAGGTTAATAGATTTTTTATAGCTTAGTACAAAAAAAGAAAACCTTAATCGGTCAATAATTGGTGCATTTACCCTATAATTATTAACAATAATAAAGAACAAAAAATTTATTTGTTTCAGGTTTCAAACCAGTCAGCACTAAATCAGATCCAGCAGGCAGCTGCAGAAAGATTAGAAGGCTTGAAAGAAATGTCAGCCTTAGGACTGGAATACGCGATCCAAAAGCACTCTCAACTGGACATCCAAGTAGATTTAGAAGCTTCCCAATTAATTGTCCCACAGAACGGATTCTACCGCGAAAAGGAGTCAATGATCGTGATAAACCTCGGGAGCCTGAAAATACACACCCTGGCGAAGCCAAAAGACGAGATGTCCTCGCAGACAGTGCGACAGCTGGTCAGCATGGGCAAGAGCGAGGAAGACATCATGTCGCACTTGCGTGAGCACTCTTACGACCGGTTCGCGCTTAAAATTGTCAACTTCCAAGCGCTGGTGGTGACAAAAAACGAGGACTGGAGAGTTGGACTGTCAATGTCCTCCAGCCCGATGGTGATCCTGCAGCCTACTACCCTGGAGATTCAGTTCCACAAGTGCCTCGTGACCGACGACCCGGTTCTGCCCAAAATGAGGATCATCGGAGAGTTGCCTTCTTTGGCGCTCTGCATTCCTGGAACTCGGCTCCTGGAGGCCGTTTCTATTGTCCAGAGTATTCCCTTCCCCGAAGATGAGTCTGAGCTTCAGCCTATGCCTCTTGCTAAATCCATGTCACAGCTGTCGATCAATTACGTCAAGGAGCTCGCCAAACCGGTTGTTGAACTTACTGAGGACGTAGTCGTGCAAACTACTGATCTAGAAGCGAAGTTTGTGATGCAAGAGTTCACTTTGACGATCTTTAAAACTGAGGAAGTCCAGCCGTTTATAAAAGTTGAGGTAATTATAAATATTTATTTGCTGCTCTGGCATAATTATCGATATTATTTAGAGAATAAGCAAAATTTTGTGGTCAGTGTATTTATGATGATGAGTATTTAGATTCTAATTGACATTTTTAAAGATATAAGCTCATCCCGATGTTATACTCATCAACACCTTTCATTTGAGTACCCACATCAATTTTTCGTATATTTTATATATTTATATATATGTATATATGAAAAATATATCAAAAATGCACATGGGTACTCAAATGAATGCTTTTGATGAGTGTAACATCGGGATGAGCTTATATCTTTAAAAATGTCAATAATTAAGAAATTAGATTGTAATTTATGAACTATTGACATTTTTAATGATATAAGCTCATCTCGATGTTACACTCATCGAGACCTTTCATTTGAGTTCCCACATCAACTTTTCATATATTTTATATATTTATATATATTATATATATATATATATGTATATATGAAAAATATATTAAAAATACATGTATGTACTCAAATGAAAGGTCTCATTGAGTGTAACATCGGGATGAGCTTATATCTTCAAAAATGTCAACAATTAAGAAATTATATTGTAATTCGTGAACTATTGACATTTTTAATGATATTAGCTGATATCGATGTTACACTCATCAAGACCTTTCATTTGAGTTCCCACATCAACTTTTCGTATATTTTATATATTTATATATATTACATATATGAATATATGAAAAATATATCAAAAATGCATGTGGGTACTCAAATGAAAGCTTGCGATGATTGTAACATCATGATGAGCTTATATCTTTAAAAACCTCAATTGTTAAGATTGTATAGTGCAATTTTAACAGATCATTATTTAATAAAGCAAAATTTTATTTATTTATAATCCACAAGTCACTGCAGTCACATAGTAACTGTCAGGTTGCTAGTATAGATGATATAAATAATATAAATTCTAGGTCTTGAAAGTAGAAGCTGAAATGACAACTCGCAGCTATGAGCAGGATATCAAGCTGAGATTGGGAGGAATCCAGGTGACACAGTACCACAAGGACGAGAAGATATTTATGATAAACACGCCGATGACTTCTGGACACCAAGTGTATCTGATAGTCCTGAACTTCATGGCCGTGAACAAACGCTCGCCGGAATTCACGACCCGCCACGGCTCGGTGGTTAATCTTCTTAGGCTTGAGTTTACTACCCTAGATGTTCTTCTGCACCAGGAGTCGCTCATCAGCGTCCTGAAGTATATCAACGAAGTCCAGGACAAAGTCACTCCATGCAGTTCGTTAGAATCTAGAGTTGCGACCACCAGAGATAAGTTTTCTCAACTTTCCACGATCCAGGAAGACACCTCGATGTTTTTCAAAGATCAGCAGAAAAAAGCCAAAAGCAGGAGTAAGAAAGTCGTTGTAGAGTGCATCGATTTGAAGATAAAAGCCAAATTTGGAACCATTAGTCTGAAGATTGCCAATGATAAGCAGGAAATTAGTGCGTTCTTGATTCAAGGAATCACTGCGGGGTATATTATGAAGGTATGCTTAAATTTTTATTTAAAGTTTGATAATTACGTAGTGAATATAAAATTAAATTATTAAATTTTTTCAAATCAAATTTTTATCAAATCATTGGAAAGATTTAGACTTGAATTTTAGTTAAATTTATTAAGAACAAAATGAAAGAAAAATATTTAAATAATTATTTATTTGTTTAGATTATTTTTAAATTAAGGAAATTCGAGCGTAACTTAAGAGTCAAAATTTTTTTTACTTTCAGTCTTCCCAATATTTGTCAAAATTCTTTATTTTAATTTAAAATAATTTGAACAATTTAATAATTGATAACTTTTACTTATTTAATAAAATAAAGTAATAAAATGCCTTTGGTATTTATTAATTGCCGGATTAAATAAACAGATTTGGCAACAGCGCGTTTGATTATACCCATTACAGAGACGCGGATGAGTGTGTCAGTTAAATATTTTTCTCTCTGTAACTATATTTTTATCCTTTTGTTTTTTCTCAGCTGTTGACGCGACGTTGCCAAATCTTTATTCGAATAAATAGCTGACGATAAACCAGTCAAAAACATTAAATTAAACTTTAAATATTTCAAAAAATTATATCGATAATGTATTATTATTAAATTTTTTTTATATTTTACAATAATCCAAGTTTTGCGTGTATAGTTTTTTATTCGTTAAAGTTGGGAGGTTAATATTGAAAAAAATAATTAAAGTCTCGACTAAACGTTTGTCCGCCATAAGAGCCCGTGTATAAGGAGATAAAAAATGTGATTTTTGAAATTTAATATCTAAGTAACTAAACGGTGAATCTTTTTTAAATTTTTGGATTAGATAAATGACGTATTTATTTATACATATACTTAATTTCAAAGCTCAAAGTTGCAAATTATTTTTCACATTAGATTCGCTTGAACTTCCTTGAGATTTTTTTAAATTTGAATTTTAGCGGGGCAGTGACTTAGTACTATTTCCGGTGCGCAACGCCATCTTACAGACAGTTTAAAAACTATATTAATATCTTCTATAATTTAAAACGGCTTTTTTGTCATATAAATAAGATTATAAAATTAAACCATTAGATATTTTTCTATATTTTACCCGTTGATTTTGTATTTTTTTTTTTTTTATTTTTTCAGGTGTCTTACTCTCAAGCAAACGTAAACCTAACCTCAATAATAATCCAGGACTTAAACCCGAAGTCAATTTACAACAACATAGTCTCCGTAGAAAGTGGGGAATCTTTACAAGTCCAAGCAGTGATTTACAACGTGGAAGCTCATGAAAACAAGAACAACATGTCTATAAAAATAAACATGGGTTGCCATCGTGTAGTATTCCTCAACGACTTTGTCTCCCGAGTGATGAACTTCCTGAACAACTTCCAGGCGGCGCAGGAGGCAATCGCCGAAGCTTCAGCGGCAGCCGCAGAGGTCGCTAAGACCAACATAAAAGACGCTCAAGCTTCCGCAACACGAGTCGAACTTTCAATAAAATTAAAAGCGCCTGTAATTTACGTTCCTATGAATTCTAAATCCGAGCACTGTCTGATGTTAGACATGGGAGAGCTAACAATTTACAACAGCCTTAAAACTCTCAACGTTGAAGAAGAAGAGGCTCCAGTAGTCGACGAAATGAAGATAGAGCTCGCTAATTTGAAGCTATCACGCGTTAGACTGACGGAAAATTTCCAGATGGAGAACGAAATATTATTGTTGCAGCCAGTGAGCTTCGGACTGTTGATAAAGAGGAACTTGTCTTCTTGGTACACTTCAATCCCAGATATCGACATGTACGGGCGACTTAAACAGATTGAAGTGCTGCTTAGCAAGCAAGACTACGCCATGATCCTCAAAGTCCTAGAAGAGAACCTCAACGAGTCTGATGAGTCTCCAGGTCAGAAAGAAACTGCTCGAGAGCGAAAAGACATCCAAAGAACCAACGCCCGAGAAGTGGACGTTCATATCACCGAACGGCAAACTTCCGAGGGTCAAAAATCAGCCAGAGCTTCGGTTAAGTTCGAGTTCATCATGGACAGCTTCGTGATAAACCTCTTTACCGGCGGATCCAAGCTGCTGCAGAGCAAAACTTCCCCTTTGCACTTGCCGGAAAATGGTCTTGCCCAATTTGGGCTGACGCACTTTGCAGTCAAGGGGACTATTTTTGCTGATGGGTTACTAGCGACCTCCATATTGCTGATGAACTGCACTCTGGACGACAAAAGACAGAACCGACAGGGTCAGCTGACTAGAATCATGGAACGGACTAACCCTCTGACGGACGCTGAGGAAAACTCTAAGCGCAGCATGTTGGACGTAACAATCCGCCAGAGTGTCAATGATATCTTTGTTGATGTTAAGGTCTTCTCTTTTAGTATTATTGTGTCGCTGGATTACCTACTGAAGATAAAGGACTTCTTTACCATCCAAGCAGTGCAAACTCAACCGCAGGTATGTATCAGGCGTCTTGATCCTCCGAACAATTGTTAATGAAAATTAAGTTAGCCGACATTTAAAAATTTTTAGAATCTCTTTTTATTGAAAAAATGGCTACAAAATGATAAAAAAAAAATTGCACATGTAAAAAACTTCAAAAACTTCAAGTGCAATTAAAAAAAAAATTTTTTTGTTACAATTTAATAATTAAAAAAAAATCAAAAAATTTAGAACATCTTAGTTATTTGGTTTAATAAAAAAATTAATTTTAATTATTTGTTTACTTATAAGATTTAAATCAATATTAATTTAATTTCATAAAACTCTAATCTCTCTAGTTGATTCACATAGTTTATTTTTTTTCGTGTAAAAAAAAAAATTAAAAGTCATTGCACAACATTGTATATTAATTCCAAAATTCTAAAACCCACAGGTAACCGTCCAGAAGTACACGGAGGTAAAGAAGAAAGCCGCTGCTAGTAACCAATCAATGATCACCTTAAACCTCCATATTGAAAAACCCGACATAATCCTAATGGAAGACATGGACAATATCGACTGCAACTGTATCGTAATGAACACCGAGTTGGTAATCAAAGTCCGGCTGATAGGTGACCATCAGGTGATAAACGGCTCAGTTACCGACCTCTCGGTCCTCACAGGGATTTACAATCCCACCAAGCGCGCTGATTCTGCCTACCAAGTCCTGAAGCCCTTCAGCGTGAGCATCGCAGGTTCCACTCCCGATAACAAAGGTCTGCATATCGACATCTGCTGTACCGACATCCACGTGTCGGTATCTCCGGGAGTGATAGAGATTCTGAGCCGCGTGATGCGAGGACTGACCTCTAGCGACGAACAAGCGGACCAATTTATAAGACCGGATCCATCTCACCAAGGATTGTGGCTCATTACGCCCTATGACGAATCCGAGTACTGGTTCCTGAAGACAGAGGTCGCCACTGAGGCGTTCGAGGAACTGAATTTCGTGGAAGACAGTGTGGTGGCCTACAAACCGGAGTTGGCAATTGTTTCAGCGCCTAATATTCTTCTAACACTGGAAGCGGGGGTCGGTAACAAGACTCTGCCGATGCTGATGCTAAATTTAGGCTTCCAGAGCAGTGTTAATGACTGGAGCACCAGAACTATGAGCATAGAGGCGACCATTTCGGTGATAATGGCGTATTACAACAGCAGGCTCGCCCTTTGGGAGCCGCTGATAGAACCCGTGGAGGTTCTGAGGCAGAACGGCGAGCGGAATTCAAGTTCCTGGGAACTCAGGAGCAAGATTCAGTTCCATGATCTGGCACCGGACTCCAGAGGCGCTAGTGCTGTTTCTCCGAGCTGCGAAAGCGAGCCTGAGGATTTGCACCAGTCAAAAATGTCAATTGACGTTGATTCTTCGGAGAATTTAGAGATTACCGTCACCAAAACTTGTTTTGAGGTTATGGAACAGCTCAGCAAGGCCTTTACTAGCGCCATGGACGCCAAGGAATCGGTTCCTCGGCTTGCTCCTTATGTTCTGAAGAACGAAACCGGTCTCAAGCTGACTTTAGACCTCCAAGCGAGTAATTTTGTTATTTTAGACAAGAATTTACAGCCTGAGGGCAAAGAAGATGATAAGTACAAAGAAGTAGTTCTTGAAACTGCCGCTACGATACAATTGGCGCCACTGGTTGATAAAAGAGACTCTGTTATGCTTGAGCAGATGAGAACTTCCGTTCAGATGAACAATGATTATAATTTAATGATCAATTTTGATGGGATTGATAATCAGCTGGTAATTCCGGTTCTCAGGGCGGATAAAAGGTTCTTCTCGTTGAAGTACAGAAAGGAAAGCTCGGAAGAGTGGGGGATTATTTCGGATGTTGTTGTGGAAAATGGCAGCACTGTTGTAGCCTTAAGGAGTGTCTTGCAAGTTCATAATCATTTTACGGAGACTGTTTCGGTTTATTATATGACCAAAAGGGGAAATGAGGTGGAGTGTGTCGGAAATGTTAAACCGGAGGAGAAACTTAGCTTGCCGCTGGATGCTGTTTATACGCCGACTAATATTTACTGGCTGTTCTTTAGTGTTGAGGGGTATATGGTCTCTGTTGAGCCTTTTGTGTGGAAGGATTTACAGAAGACACTTAGTATGACGAAGTTACTTAAGTGCGAGCCGAGGAATAAACAGTCCAAAGAACCGTTTTATATGCAGGTTAGTTTATGATTGATTGATATTAAGGGACCGTTGGGTAATGTAGAGGCAGCATTTGCTGCTCTGTTGGTGAATTTAGGCATTAGGGTGAAAATATTGAACCTGATAATTCATAAGATATTTGAAAAAAAAAATTTTAATAGTACTTGGAACTTCCGATAGAGCGCGCATGGGCGCTGAAAGTTTTCGCTGCTAGACTGTTGATTCTAACTTATATAATTCAAACGAATTTTTGATTCTTTCTTAATTTAATTAGAGTTTTTCGAATATAATCTTGGGAGATATTGTTTTTTGATAGATTATTCTTAAGGGGATAATATAATATAATATATAATAGAAGGTCATTTCTTAATTATTGACATTTTTAAAGATATAAGCTCATCCCGATGATACACTCATCAAGACCTCTCATTTGAGTATCCACATGCATATTGATATATTTTTCATATATACATATTTATAATATATATAAATATATGAAAAATTGATGTGGGTACTCAAATGAAAGGTCTCGATGAGTGTAACATCGGGATGACCTTATATCTTTAAAAATGTCAATAGTTCACAAGATACAAGGTCACTTCTTAATTATGTATCTAGAGATGGATAATTTTCGAATTTAGCCTAAATACTTATCATAATAAATTGACTATCGTTGAGAATTATATGAGACCTTGAAAATACACAAATTTAAGTCAAGACCTTTGCAATGACATTAAATTTCACTAAAAAAACCAATTCTATCATACAATTATCCTGGAGAAGAAATTTATTCAAATAAAAATAAGGTTTAATAGTAAGGTTTAATATTTTTAACATTTTTATCACCAACAGAGTGACAGTCTAGAGGTACGGTCCCTATTAATGGTATTTAATTTAATTGTTACTATAAAAAAGGCACGCCAATATTTTAGATTATTTTCACGACGGTTGCAATCGCTTGTATACTCTACAATAACAATAACATATCTTTACTCTGTAACTTTTTCAATTGGTCATCGAAAATTAAAAATGTATTCAATTTTAATAATTCTGATAAAACTATTAACAGTATTAACTCAACGATAAACTTCAAAGCTCCACTTCAGGTATCTGTTAATTGCTCGGCGGTAGATTAGTTGCTTTTAAAGTTAAAAACTGTTCTCATTTTTTGCGCTGTTTTTATAAATTAAGAGAAAAAAAAGAAAATTTAAAAAAAATTAAATATTTTTAATTGTTATTTAAAAAATTTCTACAGGTCGTTGGTGAAATAGAACAAGTGTACTTTGAAAATACAACACGTCATACAATGTCAAGTACTATTTATAATATACATTTGTATCCGTCAGTTTATTTAAAAAATTTCCTGCCAATTGATATTGTTATAATATTACCTGGTATGGTGGAAGAAAAAGTTGTTAAAGCTAGTACAACGATACAACTACCGACTGTTGACTCTAATAATTCAAATATTATTATCAAGGTAATTTTATTAATTTTTTTAATTTTTCATTCATTAAAAGTTTATAAAATTTTTAATTTATATTTTTTTACAAGTTTAAAAAATCAAAAAAATTCATCATTAACTTAAAATTGTTTCAAAATCAATTTTTAGAGTATACAATTTTTTTTTTTTATAAATTGATTAATTTTTATATTATATTAATAATTTAAATATTTTTTTCCATATTCTGTGTTAATAAATTGCATTGTACTTTCTTAAATATTGACATTTTTTAAGATATAAACTAGTCCTGATATTACACTCTTCAAGACCTTTCATTTGAGTACCCACATGCATTTTTGATATATTTTTCATATATACATATATGTAATATATATAAATATATAAAATATATGAAAAATTGATGTGGCTACTCAAATGAAAGGTCTCGATGAGTGTAATGTCGGGGTGAGCTTATATCTTTAAAAAGGTCAATAGTTCACAAGATACAAGGTCATTTCTTAATTATTGACATTTTTAAAGATATAAGCTCATCCTCATGTTACACTCTTCAAGATCTTTCATTTGAATACCCACATCAATTTTTTTATATATTTATATACATTATATATATATATATATATATATGTATATATGAAAAATATATAAAAAACGCATGTGGGTACTTAAATGAAAGGTCTCGATGAGTGTAAAGTCGGGATGAGCTTATATCTTTAAAAAAGTCAATAGTTAAAAAAGTACAGTGCAATTTAACAAAAGTCATTATTTAAAAAAGTAAAATTTCAATTTTTTATAGTTTACGGCAGTCACATAGTGACTGCAATGTTGCAGGTTAATATTTAATAGAATACTTTTCAAGAAAATTAAATAATAAACTGATAATGTTGAAACCCGATCAGAAGATAGTGAAATCGAGATATACTGCACAGTTATCAATGGTAGTAACATTAACAGTAATCATGTCAGACAACCGGGAATATTAAGATCGTTAAATCTAACGAGTAAATCGATAATCAAACCTGGAGGATTGTGTAACGATTACATAAGTGTTTGATAGTCTAAACAATCTGTATGCGGTTGATCACTATCAGGGTTATCGGCGTTTACCGTGCCGATTTAAATGACCAATTGAATAGAATTGGTGGTCCGTAGAGTAAGAGCTGTTCAGATATATCGGCCAGTAAGCGGGTAGGATACAAGTGAGCTCTTCTGTTTTTTCTAACTAACGAGCATTGTAGGTATTATATATGTATGTTGCGAATTACGAATAGGTATTCAAGAGGACAAGTATTGATAGCGGAGAAAAGAGAGAATGGTCGAGCTACAAAAGTAGTACAACAGGTGAGTTGAGTGTTAAGTCCATACATGGATCATCAATGTCTATTCTGTTGTAAATCCCGGGTTATACATTGTTTTATGCAGATCTTGATCGTTGTTTAGATGGTAAAAATTTTTATTGTAATTTTTTTATAAATAATTTCGGGTTGGTTGGACAAAAATAAAGGAAAAATATTTTCTTTTTCTAAGGGGTCATATCATTCTATGGGGTTGTTATTTCCATCTGAAAGACCTTTTATATTCTATAAAATCGTATTAACCTTTAGGTGAATCGGTTATTCTAACCCTAAGGGGGTTTATTTTCTCGATTCTTTAAAACCTTAATAAAGGTATGAAAGCTTCAGAATTTTTGTTTTTAAATATAAATTTTTTTTTTTTAATTTAATATAAATTTAAATTTAATAGATTTTAAAAATAAATTGAAAACTGAATTTTGAAGTTTTTTTTTTAAATATATTGAATTGTTTCTTCTTTTTTAAATAATATTAATTGTACACAGAAAAAAAGAAATATTTGATCGAAAAGTATTTAAAATTTATTATAACATTAAAGGTAGCTGTCACTTGAGGAATTTTTAACAAATAAATTAATTATAAAAAATTATTTCTATTCTTCTAGTTTAATAATTAAATATTTTTTGAAACGTCGCTGTAGCTTAAGTTGTAATCAAAACTTTCAAGTTTTGTTTTCAACGTTCAAGTGACGTCATGATATATTTTTGACGAATAATAAAATAATTCGAGTCAACTGTTATATTTACGTGTAAAGAAATATTTAAAAAAACGACTCAAATAAATTGATTTACTTGAGACAAATAATTCTTTTTTTTCTGTGTAATTAAATTTCGATTCTAAGATAATAAATTAATATATATATATATATAGAAGATATTTAATAAACACTGAAAAATATTAATTGATATTTGCTTCGAAAAGCTGGAAGATAAATTTAATATTAATGCAAAATATTAATTACATAAAATAAATTGTGTAATTTAAAAAACACATTAATTAATTAAAGCACAATTTTAGCGAATAAAAAATATTATCTTCGCAGATTGTATGAAATATTAACTAATGATAAGCTTTCGTAAAAGAAGAAATACAAATGATTTTTTTTATATATACTTAATTAAGGTATCAGATTCAATAGATCGTTATTTAGCGCAAGGTTGCAAAATTTAATTATTAATATATTACTTCCTCGCAGTAATATATTATGAATAAAACAATATAAACATGAATTACTATTCGATTTCACACTGTCGACATTTATTCATCCCTTGCCATTAATATTGCAATTATTCATACATAATTAAACTCACATTTACAAATTCGATTGTATATATTATTAACATCATCTTTTATTTAAAAATAATAATAATGATCAATTGAATCTGATACTTTGAACTTATAATTTTCAGACACATTAATCAATAATAATAAATTATTAATATTTTCACCTTTAATCAAGAATAAAAACAAATCAATATTAAGCAACAATAATCTTAAAAATTTAATTACATAAAAGTATAATTACTTTAATTAAAAAATAACCAATTATTCACATGATACTACAGCGACCAATACATCGATACATTGCAAATAAATAAATAAATAAATATTTACAATAATAAGCATTACATTGAAAAAAAAAAAATAATTTAAATTAAGATGATAAATTTCTTTGAAATTATTTTCTTAATTCAAATTAATTTTTTTTTCTATGTGTAATTATATAAATATAAAATTGGGACTTTACTGTCAGTACGATTTTTATTAATAAGTACGTACTTTCTGACGAGGTCAGAATCACCGGCATCGAGGGTCGCGGATGGATTTGACAGGGCCTTAGATGATGATCGAGGATTCCCGTTGAGGTTATCATCAACCAGCGTCGACTCAGCTACCTCCGCACCCTCGCTGCCATACCTGAATCACGTTTATATATAATTTTTGTTATATATATATATATATATATTTGTATAACTTTCAATAGTTCTAATAGTTCTTCTTTATTGAGAAGAAAAAAAAATAAAAATAAAAATAGTTCAAGTTGAGCAGAACCCGAGTGAATTAAAATTAAAAAGTGTTTGCATATGCCGTCTCCTTGGCACTTGAATCTTTTAGATATGTAAACGCGTTCAGCCGGGATAAAGTGCTTACAGATAAATGTACCAGTTTAATTAACGGTGGTAAAACCAAGCCAACACCAGTTATAGCTTGCAGTACGCGCAACTTAGTACACACTCGCTAACCAATGCTCTGAGGATTAACAGCACTCGCTTTTTCCTCCAATGCCGACAACAAATTTAACTTTTTTTTTTGTAATTTATTATTATAATTATAATTGTGTGAAAAAAATTACATTCAGAAAAGAAGTATATATTGTTCAAAATTAATTTGTTGAATAATTTTAATTATTTAATAAATTTTTATTTTTTGGATATTAATTTTAAATTCATCATTTTTATAAATTTTTTTGAATTATTATTATTATTATTAAGAGAATAAAAAAAAAACTGTATCCAGGATATTCATATGATAAAATCGGTTTTTTTAGTGATTCAAAAATCCTCTACACATAATTAATAAGAAATGATCTTGTATCTTGTGAACTATTGACATTTTTAATGATATAAGCTCATCCCGACATTACACTCATCGAGACCTTTCATTTGAGTACCCACATCAATTTTTCATATATTAATATATACTATATATATGTATATATGAATAATATATCAAAATGCATGTGGGTATTTAAATGAAAGGTCTTGATGAGTGTAACATC